CCGAGCGATTCTGTGATTCTGTGATATGTAGGAAATGAAGATTGTTTTTCTTTTGCGGATTAAGTTTCTTAACAGCTACAGATGTCATGTTTTATGTCCACATTTCCTCAAACCTTTCTTTATTAAAAAAATTGGTTTCATATTTGTCATCCTCCTGTCTTTGGGTACAATAGAAGTTTAAGTGAAATGTTAAACACTACCCCTAGTGTGGTAACTTTTTGATTTAACACTCAAAACATTGATTACTAAATAATTGGGATTTTGTTTGTTTTACAGGAGAATATTAAAGAGTGAGCCACCTTATCCACAAGAAATGAGTGCACTGTCTAAGGATATAATTCAGCGTCTTTTGATGAAAGACCCCAAGAAGAGGCTAGGCTGTGGTCCCACTGATGCTGATGAAATCAAACAGCATCCCTTTTTCCAGGTAAAACAAGCAACAAACCTCCCCAGGTACCACTTGCTCTGTGCTAGTGCCTTTGAAATCTAAGTCTAAAGAAATTCCATTGTTTCATTAACAGAATAGCTTAGAGGCCTGTTAATTGCATAAACAATTGCACTGACGTTAGTGAGAATGTCTGTGGGCTTATGTACATGGATTTTGTGCATACTACAAGAAGGGCATGGTAGATTTTTAAAATATATTCTGTCTGTTTCTAACAGTTACTTGAGACACTGCTTAAACCAGAATGTTTAAAGGAAAACACTTAAATTATATGTTGTATTGGTTTTTTAAGAGAAAGTTTGCTACTACTGTTATTAATAAAATTTGAATATTGATAGAAGTTACAATTAGTGATAAATGCCTCTTTTGTATTTTCCTTTGCCTAATTAAATCTTTAGTGCTGTTTAGTAGACTTTAATATTGTTCAGGTTTCAGTGTATTAACATTTGGTTTCAAGCAATGACAGTTTGCATTTGTGCACAACATCTGTACTGTTCCATCCATTGTAGTTAAAATTTTTTGTGTGCTTTCTTTGAAAAAACTAAGTATTTTTTTGTGGTCCTTCTGAAGCTAAATATATTTTTAATTAGTATAAATTTTGGAGTATTTAAAATTAGCATTATAAATTAAAATTTTCAAATAAATATTTTCAATGTAATTATTGTACCATTCAGAATGGGAAATATATTGGTTTTTAACTTCTGAATTTCTTCTCATCCGTTCTATATTTTCTTCCTCTTACAAGTGAGTTATACAAAGTAGATATAAACTTCCCTTATTCACAGTTTGTTTTGGAAGATAAGTTGGTTGTTTTTTTTTTCTTATACCACATTTTCTAATCTTGGTTTCATTTCAGTTCCACTCCTTTACAGCAATAGGGCCATTTTCTCATAACTACCATATTTATACTTTCTACTTCTAGCCATGCATTTAAGTTAGAATCCAGAGACTTTCAGGGCTCTGGAAGCTGAGATTAGTAACAAAACACAGAAATCAGCGATGAAAAGTTGAAGACACTGCATGCATGCACTATGGTTACAAAATATAAATGTTTCCTCTGAAACAGAAGAAGAAATTTAAGGGCTGTTGTGCTAATTCATAGAATCACAGAATGTATTGGGTTGGAAAGCACCTTAAAGCTCATCCAGTCCAACCCCTGCAGTGAGCAGGGACACTGTTACCAGATCAGGTTGCTCAGAGCCCCATCAAGCCTGACCTTGAATATCTCCAGGGATGGGGCCTCCACCACCTCTCTGGGCAATCTGTGTCAGCGACCTACCACCCTCAAGTTGAAGAACATTTTCCTAATATCCAACCTAAATTTACCCTTTTCTAGTTTAAAACCATGACCCCTTGTCATATCACTACATGCCTTAGTGAACAGCTTTTCCCCAGATTTCTTATAGGCACCTTTCAGATATTGGAAGTAATTGTTTGGCTTATCTATCTGCACTGTAAAATTTCTTCGTGTGAATTTTTTTTTCTAAACTGGATTCTGTCTACTCACAAATAAGTATGATACTTCTTGCCTTTAACTAAGCAAATTATAGAATCACAGAGTCGTAGAATGGTTTGGGTTGGAAGGGACCTTAAAGCTCCTCCAGTCCAACCCCTGCCATGGGCAGGGACACCTCCCACCAGCCCAGGCTGCTCAAAGCCCCATCTACCCGGGCCTTGAACACTGCCAGGGAGGGGGCATCCACAGCTTCCCTGGGCAACCTGTGCCAGTGTCTCACCACCCTCACAGTAAAGACTTTCTTCCTAATATCTAGTCTACATCTCCCCTCTTCCAGTTTAAAACCATTCCCCTTGAATGTTTTTATCCGCTTGTGGGAAAATAGCAAATGGAGTTAGGACTGTTTGTTTCTTGACATGTCTCTTTCCAGTACCTCTTTCTGTTAAATTCTTATTTGAGTCAAACTTATGTTTCTGTTTTTGGTTTAGAATATGAATTGGGATGATTTAGCTGCCAAAAAAGTACCAGCTCCATTTAAACCAGTAATCAGAGATGAGTTGGATGTCAGTAATTTTGCAGAAGAGTTTACAGAAATGGATCCAACATATTCTCCTGCAGCAACCCCTCAGACTTCAGAAAGAATATTTCAGGTATTTTGAGAATTCACATTATTGTTTAAAAAGATAATTTATTGAACAATTCCATGTGTATAGCTAGCTTTTTTTCCCTGCCTTCTAAGTTATCAGCAATTAACTGTGTAATTTCCAATCCCAGTTCCCAGGGCTGTTTGTTTGGTTTGTTTGTTGTACATCACAACATGGAAACAATTTCATGACTTGACTTAAAGATGTTCTGGAAAGCAAGCTAATTTGACGTATGAGCCTTTATCACTATTGCAAAACTACTGAAGCTGAGCCAGATTTTTAGCATTATTTATCAGAATATTATTATTGTATCAGTACTATTATTGTTTTATATGATTCTGCACTGTTATAGATAACTAACTCCAGGAAGATTCCCGTCACATTGAGCAGAGTAGTATCTACCCATCAATAAACCAGTTACGATTTCTGTATTATGTTATGAAAATTCTGATTTCTTTGAAAAATTCTTCTGAAACACCGAAAGTTTTGTGTACAGTATGATAGTTTGTGTGCAAAAATTTCAAGCTACATCCTTTTTAATATCTCAATTTCATAGGGATATTCTTTCGTTGCACCTTCTATTTTATTTAAACGCAATGCAGCTACAGTAGATCCTCTGCAGTTTTATATGGGGGATGAGCGGCCTGGAACGACGACTATTGCCAGAAGTGCTATGATGAAGGTAATAATGATATCTAGAGCTGAATTAATTTGGTTAACTTTTAACTGCATATAACTTTCAGAGCAGCAATCACAAGCTAGACTACAGATTACAAAGTAGTCATTATTCATTTATCTGTTCTCTGTAATAGCTCCTCAGGTGATCCAAGCATATAATTTGCATGGGGCACTATTAAGAAGTGGTTGAAGTTTAATCTGAAAAATGAGATGATTGTCTAGTTTTTGAGAAGACTGAAGTATAGTAATAATAGTAATTTGACTCCTGATAGTTCTTATTCAGCCAACCATTGCAGATATTTTTGAAGCCACTGTAATTATATCAGTATTCCTTCTATGATGTAGTTGCCCAGAAATATGTATAGTTGTGTGAAGCCTTATGAGAACACATGCTATTGTGATGTCTTCAAACGAGCACATAGTTTTGTGGATAAATGTATGTACAGCCATCTTTGATCCTGTTTGTCTGAATATTTTGTATCTTAAGCTATTGTAGTAGTAATGATTTATTTAGTGATTATGTTTGTTTAATGTAACATAAGATTTACTCTTTGATTGTTAGAATAAAGTTGATGCATTTTATTAAATAGAAGTTAAAACTATATTTTAGCAAAAAGAGAGCTCTTTTACAATTTTAAATGTAGATGAAAAATTCTCACGAAACTTTACTCTTTGTCTTTGACTGTGTATACTAAAAGTATTCTGCAGAACTAAATACAGACAGTTTCCTAACAGGACTCTCCATTTTATCATCATTATGAACTGGATCTGAAAGAGAAACCATTGGGAGAAGGAAGTTTTTCCATTTGTCGAAAGTGCTTACACAAGAAAACTAGCCAAGAGTATGCAGTAAAAATAATTAGCAAAAGGTATAAATATTCTATAAGACAATAAAAATATTTTCTTTGCTTACTGTCACCCATGGATTAGAATAATGTTCGATACATTTTGGAAGTGGAAAAATAACTTGAAAATAATTTCCTATTTGAAGAATCTACAGAAACTTACAGCAACCTTATGACCTTTAAAAGATTCTAGAAGTCATTGGAAACAATGTTATTCATGTTGGGGAGGACACAAGAAGAAATCTAAAGAGCACATTTCTGGTTCCTAGTTGTATTCTACCCTAATTTTGCTTCTAACCAGGTTAAGGTATAAGGCCCTCCTATCTTTAGACCTAAGTCAACTGAATTAGGCTTTTGCGAACTCCCTTTCCTAAGCAGCCCAATTGATTGCCTAGGACATTGCTTTTAGGAAGGATCTGTAGTGTGGGTTGCTTCCGATCTAATTAATTGTGTGCATGTGTGTGAGTGTGTGTAAAATGGAATTAGAGTATGGAGTTGTTACCTGCATCTTGTTTCCTGGATGCTCTGAAGAGAAGGCCACAATGGAGGCAGCTGACTTGCTTTTTACATGGGGACCATCTGATGCTCTTCCAGAACAGATACGTCTCGGCGGTTTCTGCCCAGAGAAAAGTAAAGCTAGGGGATTCTTTGAGGAGTGGATGGATTTTTAGCTTCATTTTGCAGAGTTCATTAGTACATATGTCCCTAGTGTGTTGTAGAATGCTGGCAGAAAAGGAAAACGAAAGTGTACATGTTCTGCTGTCAGAATGAGAGTTCACAGTGACCTCTTCTCCAAGACATTTGGCTGTACCTCTGTTTTCCCAAGCTCTAGAAGTTACTGTCCACCAGACTTCAGTGTTTCATCCTGTGCTTTTTGGATAGGATATGTTCAAGAATGAGACATGTAAATATATGTGTCTGAATCAGTTTTCTGAGGTCTACTACAGTTAATGCAGGCCTACTCAGAAGTATTAGTGGAGTCTCTAGAGAGACTCGACTACCAGGCACTATCAGTGGGATTCAGTAACTTAAACATAGGCATCTACATAGTGCCATTTTAGCATCTGTTGCTGTCCTTTCTATCCTCCAGTTCCCATCAGTCTTGTGACTACTACCTTTATGTAGATGTCTTCATGGCTGATGTCTTCCAGGCTCTCCTATGCTTAGGCCACTGAATCCTACTCTAGGTATGTATTTTACGGTGAACTAGTTCACATGCTAGTTTCATTAACTAGAATTTCGCTCGTTATAACGAGTCCCTAGACAAGTAGTGTGCAGTAGACACCTACGTTGGATATTTTAATCTGGAAATCTCTACCTTGTGTCTACATTAAAATTATTTTCTCTGGTGCATGCTGAGCTGCAGATCAGTACTCCCATCTCATCTTAAGCTAATGGATTTTTTGTTTCTGGATAACAGTGAGCAATCTAGTATAGGCTTTTCCCAAGGAGCTAAACTTTTAGGAACTATGTCTCTAAGTGATATTACTCACAGGTTCCTGTGCTCTTTCTCATTCATCTTGGTGGACCAGACTAAATGAAGGTAAGAAGTGGTCTGTATACAGGGATTTTTTTTTTTAGGATTGCAGGCTGTGAGCAGATTCAGAGCATGTTTGTGGAGTATTTAGAGGTAGCAGTAAAGCCACATTCTGAATGGCTGGACACAAGTGTTAAATAAGAAAGTGTTAAACTGTAAATAATATTGTACACTAGTAACTCTTGCTAAAGGGAAAATTATAATAGGTTTCTAGTAACTTCTTTACCTCAAAGTCACAATCTCTCACTCCTACCTATCAAAGGTGCCAAAAAAGTGAGTTTTACACCCAGGCAAAACTTTTCACGATACTTGAGGTGAAAGCTCAGATCGAGGGTTTCTTTGTGGTGTCGCTTTGTTAGTAGTGCTGCACCTTCCTCCATCCAGCAGTTTGAGGTATATCTGTGTGTCTGAAGACAAATGAAACAGTGGAGTCCTGTAAACTTGCTTGAGTTAGTGTTCCTGAGCTTCCCATTTGTTTTTCATTATATTGTCTGGGGGAAATACTCAGAAAAGTCTACACACAAATTTCAAGAGTTTATGTCCATGATACTAAACCTCTTTCATCTGTTTCCTAGGTCCACCTTCTCCAGATAGTAGTTTAGGGGGGAAAGAATATCTGAGTCAGTTATTTAATTTCTTAAGGACCTGAAATGACTTGTAAGTTTACAAAACATCAGCAGAAATGCAGGTGGAACAACTTATTTTACTTGTTGGTATGTTGTCTGTAGAAAACCAGAATTTTTCTCGACGAAATTCTCATCATGGTTCTGAAAAACCAAGAAAAAAAATGCAACCAAAAATTAAGAATGTGTGTGGTCAGAGAGATTCTATCTGTGTAACCCATAAGGTCATTCTTTAACTCAGTGGAGGGTTAGCCTTTCTTGCAGAGAGTTTTTTGGCAAAAATTTCCAGGCCTTATTTGCCTAAAATAAATCAACATCTGTATTTAGTAGAAAACAAAATGTTCTGCTCTGTCCCCATTCCTATAGTTTATATAATGTTCACCATGCTCACTTTTTTTGGCTATAGATATCAGTACTTGAAAGAGAACTTGAGCTATAATTTTTGCTCTGGAGCTTACTCTCTTATTTTTTCCATTTCATATTTTTACAACAAGCTGTTTAGGGGTTCATTTGTATAGCACAGTTCATATATAGATGATGTTACTCTTTTTTCTAGTAGGAGCTCATACTTTCCTTACAGTTTTGGAAGTACTTATTTCCTATAAGAATGGAAAAGGATTGGGCCAGTAGTTTGAGTCTTCAAGGTAAAGCCAAACTAACAAATATTTGTAAGAACAGAGGTGAAGACAAATTGCCCTGGACTAAAGAAGAGGTTTGTTTTAGGTCGAAACTATTCTATAGTATCATTTCAGCTTTTGCTGTAGCAAGTTGTAGTGCATCAAAAATGTTTGATTTGGGTGTGGTTTTTAAATATCCTAACCTGAGGTTATGTAGAGAGTTTTGCTTAGCTTACTTTGAATGTGCTTTTAATTGCGTTCAAGCAGTTGTAATATTAAAAAAATCTGGATCACAAGCAATTAAAAAAATAGGTGTAACACTTTAAATATGCAATTTGCTCAGTAAAAATTGTACAATATAACTGCTCAATTTTTCCAGAATGGAAGCAAACACCCAGAGAGAAATAACAGCTCTGAAACTCTGCGAAGGACACCCGAATGTAGTGAAGTTACATGAAGTTTATCATGACCAGGTATTTTGAAGGAACTATAATCAGCACTTACCAAACATATTGCCATATGTTTTTCCAAGGATTTTTAGGAGTTAAGCTTACTATTATTGTGGAGGCAACGTTTTTCCTAGGTCTTTTACCTAGTCAGTATAGAAGGTGAAAATATATTGAGATCAGTGTAGCGTTTTTTTAGCGACCGTAGTTGTCATTTTTCTGAGTGGAATGCAAGCTCCACAGCATGTAATAAGCCATAATTTGATCTAACTTGGAGATTGGCCCTGCTTGAGCTAGAGGTTTGGACCAGATGTCTTGCAGAGGTCTCTTCCAACCTAAACTATGATCTATGATTTTGTAACTGAATATGGGCTCTCATGTCTCCCCATGTATCCCAGTCTATCCCCATCATGCTGTTTATACACGGACACAACTGGCACAACTTGAGGCCATTTCCTCACGTCCTATCATTTTACTTGGGAGAAGAGACCAACACCCACCTCGCTACACCCTCCTTTCAGGGATTTGTAGAGGATGATATGTTTTTGTAATTAAATATGGGTGAACATGGGGAAGACATCAGCATTCTTCAATCTCAATGAGATTGATAGGAAAAACGTCATCTGAAATGCATTTTGATGCTTCTTATTGGCCTTCCAGATTGCTATGAGCAGCGGTTTTATTTCTTCAAAATTTGAGAGCCTATCAGAATAGCACCTAGGTCCTGAATGAATGTTGGTTTATAGTGCTAAATTTCTAACATCCCCTATTTTTCTTTATTGTTTCAGCTTCACACATTTCTAGTAATGGAATTGCTGCAGGGAGGAGAGTTGCTTGAGCGTATTCAGAAAAAGAAACATTTCAGTGAGACTGAAGCCAGTCATATTATGCGCAGGCTTGTTTCAGCGGTGAGCCATATGCATGATGTAGGAGTAGTCCATAGAGATCTGAAACCTGAGGTATAGTGTCTTGCTTATATGTGTTTAGACATTAAGTTGTTGAATATCTGGAATGTGACATATTTCTGTTCCTCCAGCTTTTATCACAGATTTTTCTACTTCTATATTTTTAATAAAATGTTGTCATTTCTACCTTACAAATTCTGTAGATATTTTTCTGTTTTTCTGTTTTCTGGTTAAAGTAACTGTTAGGAAATATATTTCGTTTTGTAAGCAGTTTACACTAACCTCTGCAAAAACATTCTTTGCCTATGTGGGGAGAGTCTTTACTAATGTTAAGTATATATTTATTGTATGAAACAGTTCACAGGCAGAGCTGGGTTGCTTGGCTATTTTACCTGTACATCTTTTGTTTGATCTTAATTCCCTTGATAGGGCTTCTTTTGGAGGTAGCTGTGACACCCTTTTGTACTGTCTTCTGTCCCAGCTAAACTAATGCAGCCAACTGATAAAGATGTGTAATGTGAGTTCAATGAGCTTAGACACTTGCCTTTGAGACTATTTGGTTTACTGTGGTAAGGTTGCCCACTGGCTTTGTTCTGCTTCCTGAAGCAAATATTTTTTCCTTTTTCTTTGCCACCAACAGGCTTGGATATGTGTTTATTTTCTTTAACCCAAGAATATTATAGATTGATGTTAGTTCATCCAATAAAGATGTTATATTGTATTGGCATCATACCTCAGGAAATAGCTAGTCTTTTTGTATCTGGAGTTTAAAAGCATCCACCATTCCTACTGATGTTTCAGCCCTTTATAATATACCTTCTCGTATATTACAAACTTACTTCTTCTGTAGTAATTCCAGTTCAACTGGTAAAGAAGTCTTCTAGGTGCTGGTGTTAAACTGTTTTTGAAAATCAGTCCAAAGCATACAAGTTTGAAAACATCTCTGTACTGGAGTGTCTGTACTAAATAACCAATTAAATGAAGAGGAGCTGTTATGAAATTCTAATGTGTCAGTTGAAAATGTGACTCTTGGAAAAGGTTTCCCTGCTGACATAATCAAGGAGAGAAAACAGCTTTTGAAACAAGTCATTATTTAAAGGACAAAACTCAGAAATCCTTTCTCTCTTCTTATTCTTGTCATTTTAGTCTTATTACTATCTTGAATATAAAGCCCAAATTCTGTAAACCAGAGCTTCAGCTGCATGGTAAATTGTTCAAGAACAGAAGTCTGGAAAGTCCAAGTAATGAAGGGTTAGCAAAGAGCTTGCAGATTGCGTTGCCTCCACAAAGTTGGACTTAACCAACCTGTCTCCTTCCTGCTTCTTGTTTTGAAAGTTACTATTTTAGGTTCAGACATGAACTTAGTATAGGATACACAGGCTTCCCAATATAGATATGGTGCAGCTTTGTGTAAAAAAGTATATAGGAAATTCTATTGTTTTTCTAGCAATTCCAGTCAGATTTGTTTGACGGTCAACTTTGACATCTAATCTGCTACTGCTAAGCCTATTTTAAAAAATGTGGCTGGTTACATTTTCACTAAGGATGAGGCTTTTTTTTTTAATTTTGTGGACTGGAAGACTTTTCTGTTTAAGCAGTAGTAATTACATCACATACATTGCTCTGCAAAATAGGGGAAAAATACTGAATAAAAAATAGAGAATTCATAGAAATAAAGAACTTGTGTAGCATATGCGACCATTTGGAGCCTTGCAGTAGAGGATTTGAGGACCGTTTCTGTGATCATTAATCTGCAAACTGGGTTCTAAAGATACTAGAAAAAACATAGTCAGAAATAGTTTGTTTATATATATATATGTGTGTGTGTGTGTGTGTGTATTTCCTTAAAATAGATGTGGAATATAGCTTTAATTGTGGATTTTTGTGAAACAGGCTTTATTTAACTAATCAGCACAGTAGTCTGAACCCACCTTAGGGCATTTGGATTGTACCTTTCTGTACATAACCAATTTTATTTTTGTCTTAAGGAAGGAGGTCTGTTTAACCAATGTTACTTGTTGGCTATATAACATCACAATAGAAAAAAGGTGAATGTATTTATCATCTGTCTTCATTGTATTCACAGTTTTGCTGAAATGAGCTTCCTCCAGGTCCATTTTGTACTACATTTTAATATCGAAAACTGACTTTCCTGATTTGTACATTAAGCTATAACAGCAATGCAGAATGCAAAAGTACTGTTTTGTAGCAGCCTCGTCTCTTTTATCCTTAATGAATGCTCTCAGGTTCTCCTTATTGATCTGCTTGAGTCTAGCAATCATTTTTTCCCCTTAATGGGTTTGAAATTAATTACTTTGTGTTGAGTCATTCACCTTTTGTATTACAAAATTATAAAGGGCTGTTGGATTTCTAATATTGAGACTGTTTCTATGATTGCATAGATTAAGTTAAAACATCAACAGTAACAGCAATTTTTGGTCCTCCACTTGAGGACCAAAACTGTTCAGTCACAAGACAAGACATGCAATGACTTCCACACAGGAGAAAGCTGTTATTTGCAATATGCAAGACAAAAGTAGAATCTTAAGAAAATTTACTTCAGTTTGAGAAAGAAGGTAGTTCTCCATCTATGTTGGTGTCTTCGCATTTTTCCTTGTCAGTGTTCCCTGAATTATTTTCCCTGCTGTTCTCTGCTAAATACCCATTTTTGTTACTAATTGCAGACAGAACTATCCTGACTTGCAGATATACAGGGGGCAGATAGACATCACATTTTCTTACATCCCAGAGTACCATTGTTTCTAGTTTTCCTTTTTTTTTTCCCCAGTCTCCCAGTTCCCTTTTTCTCTAGATAAAGGGAAGTTTTTTGTAGTAATAAATGTCAGAAGAAAATAACTACTAAGTACTCTAACCAATTTTCTACCCAGTGCTGGTATTGATTTTGGTTTTGCTTTTCAGAATTTATTGTTTACAGATGAATCTGATAATTCAGAAATAAAAATAATTGATTTTGGCTTTGCTCGTTTAAAACCACCTGATAATCAGCCTCTGAAGACTCCATGTTTTACTCTTCATTACGCTGCCCCAGAGCTCTTCAATCACAATGGTTATGATGAATCTTGTGATCTGTGGAGTCTGGGGGTCATTTTGGTGAGTGATTGAGTTTATCTGTGACTTTATTGTATGTATTTACTTTTTGTTAAAATGCAAAGGACTTGAATTCTGTAGATGCTGAATTCAAGCGAGGTGAAAATACTGCTGCACAAATAATAGGTTCGAAAGACATGTTTTCCAAGGGTGGAGAATTTTTTTTTCTTAAGCAGTAAATTAAATTCAACATGTCTGGGAATGAAAAAAATACTTGATACAGTCTGGTTCTTAAAAAGATATGTCCGTGTCAGGAGATTTAACACGCATCCATACCTACAGATTCAATTCAGAGAAGGGATAGGCTTGCATTCTGATTTACAGAAAACTAATTTCAATAGATATAACATGAGTAGGAATCACATTGTGCTTCATTCATAGTTTCCTGAAATCTATGAATGATTTTATTAACAAGGACTCCAGGAAAGGTCTTGCACACTTTAAATTTTTTTGTAGCCTTGAAGTTACGCTTGTTGAAGTTGCTGGTGATGCAAACTTCAGAACTTGGTATTTAGTGATAGGGTTGTCAATAAATAAACCATATTTGTTAACACTGCTTTTGTTCTCATGGCAGTATACAATGCTGTCAGGACAGGTACCATTTCAATCTCAAGACAAAAGTTTAACATGTACCAGTGCATTGGAAATTATGAAGAAAATAAAAAAGGGAGAATTTTCCTTTGAAGGAGAAGCTTGGAAAAATGTTTCTGAAGAGGCTAAAGAATTAATTCAAGGTATGTATTCACAAATAGTTCATTAGCCTTGTATTTTTATCTCAAAAGATAAAATTTAGAGGACTATACAATATCTGGATGCTGTGATCAGCATCAGAGTGCGTAAACTGGCAGAGTAATATGCAAAGCTTGAGCTCCGTACTGACCCCTGATACAATGATGGGTAAAGGTGGACACATCAGAATGGCATTACAAATTGCTTGTACACCCAGCAGAGATCTTCCTAATGATCTGAGATGCTGATAGAAGGTTAGCGGGGTTAGAAGTAGCTGAAGAGCTTCAGAAAAAGTTAAGTCACTCTTTTAAAACATGTTTAAAAGCAGACTTCTTCTCTTATGTTATTTTTGTTTTTGTAAACACAACTGGTTATGAAATAAATGTTTTAAAAGCTGAGCTTTTGCAGAAAATGAATATATTACAGTCATCTTTTTGATGAGCTGTTTTCGATGCGTGTACCAAGACTACTGTATTTTCGAGCTTCTTCATTCACATTTGACATGCTTTGATTCCCCTTAAGCTTTTGAGCATCTAATTAAATTTTCAGTTTGAGATAGACACCAATCTTAATTCTGCTGAGATTGAATTCTGAATTTCTGTAGAAGCAGGCTTTTAAGGAATTTTTCTGCCAAGAATGTAGGCATCTCCAGATTCAGACTTCAGTGGCTCATGCAGAGGATCAAAAGCTTACTCTATTGAACTTAATCCTGGACAGGTTTTAAGTGAAGAAGTAATTTGAAATAATGCTGAGTTCATGTGCAAAGAGAGTTAAATAGCAATTTCTTGTATTTAATGATTCTTCTAAAAATTGTCACTACTTATCAAAGCAATGCATGGGATGGTCTTAAAAACAATTGCATTTTCTATTAAAAGAAAAAAAATAGCTCACAGTCTGAGAGAATGTAATATATTTCTATTAGGACTTCTGACAGTGGATCCAAACAAAAGAATTAAAATGTCCAGCCTGAGATACAACGAGTGGCTTCAGGATGGCAGCCAGTTGTCATCCAACCCCCTCATGACTCCTGATAACTTGGGCTCTTCAGGAGCTGCGGTGCATACCTATGTCAAAGCCACTTTTCATGTAAGTTCTAAGAAATCTTATGTCATGCTAGAATTTGTGATGTGTTGATCTAGATTCTTGTATGTTTTCTCTTAATTAAAGGTATATATTTGTTCTTATTTTTAAAATGCTTGCTTATAGTGGCATTTTTTTTACCTCCATACCTAACATCTGTGATTTGGTACAGCAAAAATGTGAAGGCTGAGGCAAGAAAAAAATCTCTTGAAGATATTTGTACTAATGGGATTTTGAGGACTGAGAGACAGCTGTTCATGAAATAGCTATTAGAAATATTCTGTTTATTAGAGAAATGTGTTAAAAGGTCTTCAAACTTCTTATAAAAAAGATAAACTTTCTATTTAACTTAAGTAACTGACTTTTTCTCCTTACTGTTAGAAAATGGAGGTAAAATTTCTGGAACATATCTAGTTTGTATTTTTAATAACATGGATACTTTTTTAATTGACTTGCTTGTCTACCATTGTATATTTACTAAAAATGTGTGAATTGCAACTGTGTTATACAAACATAGTGTTGATTCTCATGATTCCCTCTACAGAGAATAATCTGAAATTGAGCAGATTTATGCTGAAATTCTGTAGACGCTTATTGCCAAGAAAAGAAAAAGGAATTGTTACTTGGAGAGGTCCTGATAATGCAGCATAACTTGGGCTGAAAGAAAAACTGTAATTTAACTAAGTGTGGTTTCTGAAAATATAGTCTTAAATAGATTTAAGGCTTAATTAAAAGTACTGCTAAACTAAAAAGAACAAGGATGGGAAGATGCCAATTTATTATGTTATGTATTGACTTTTAAATATGTGTATAGGCTAGTAAAGCTACTGTTACAGCTACGGTAAGAATTAGTAGGGATCTGTCAAGCAATTACAGTTTATTTTATGACTTACCATAGAAAATTCATAATGAGCTACCTGCCATTAAATGTCTTAAGCCTCTTGAAAAGCTTAAAATTACCTTTTATTTTTAAACAGGCCTTTAACAAGTACAAAAGGGAAGGATTTTGTCTCCAGAATGTTGACAAGGCACCTCTTGCAAAGAGAAGGAAGATGAAAAAAACAAGTACAAGCACAGAGACACGAAGCAGCTCCAGTGAAAGTTCACATTCTTCTTCCTCTCATTCTCATGGTAAAACTACACCTACAAAGACACTGCAGCCAACAAACCCTACAGACAGCAATAACCCAGAGACCATCTTCCAGTTCTCTGACTGAAAGGCAGAGAATATCCTGTCTTGAAGATTTAAGTGGTTATAAACTTGGTAGTACCTATGTTGTCTTCTCCCACCCTTCCTCACTGTGGCTTACAGGCTACGGGAATGCATCTGTCTCTTTAAAAACATATTTCAATCATGCCTTTCTAGCTTTGTATTTCAGTACATTTCTTTTTAGCATTAAGTTTGGTATCACTGGATATGGTATAATACTATTATACAACCAACATTGTATTCTCTTAGGGCTAAATTACTAGTGTGCAGCCAAGCTCAAGGTAAGGAGCTACGCTGCTCGTGGTACAGCTTGAGGAAGGCTGCTTCTCCGTGACAGAATCTTCCTCCCAGTTTCTTTTCCACTGGTCAGAGGAAGGAAAGCTCTGTAACACGTATAGAACTCTTGGATCTTCTGCTTTTACTCAGCTGTGTGAAGAATGTCAGAATTTGATTCTTCATGCATGTAAGGAATCATTGGTACAATGCACCAAAGCAGCATAGTGAAATTTCTTACTGAATGCTTTGGAAAATGGTCACATGTTAAAATATCTATCTCAAGAATTAGTTATAATTTATATTTTCTTTTTATATTTACACAATGACTTTAAAATACTAAGATTTTTTTAAAGATGCAAAAACTCCAGTTTCAACATTTGTTATTGTAGGGTCCATACAAAATGTATATCGAGTTATTTGACCTTTGCATTGTGCAAATATGGCATTTTAATAGTGACTGTAAAATACTAGAATATATGTTTTCTTTTTTGCACTTTTAACATCAAAAGGAGATGTTTCATAGTAAAGTGCACTCAGATCTCTCTTCCTACAAGGTGCTGAGCACTGTTTTACTCGGTTGAATGACCTGAAATCCACCATATATGGTGGTTGTGGTCATCGTGAAGGAGAATTCTGTACTTTGCAGGAGTGCATCCCTGTATATTACCCACTGTTTTCATTCCTTACCTTAAACCGCAAAGCTCTTTCTATCTTGCTTTTACATTGTATATAGCAAATACTAGCCCTGGGCACCTTGTGTAGTGTAGATGTTAACAACTTATGCACTGGGAATACTAAAGGGAAATTCTATTGAACACTGTGCTTCACAACCTGTTCACTGTGGTGTTCTACAGTGAAGTATTTCCTACTGTGATAGTATAGTATGTACATAACTGTTTGGAATCATAAATGTGACTTACAGAAACATCAGCATCAACTTTTAAATCAGCGTATTTTATAAATTTATGAAGAGCTCTTTTATTGCTCGTATTCTCAATGACTAGGGGTAACTTAAGTGCTAAAGATGACTCCAGTGTTGCAAATGCTTACGTGTGTAAGTTTCCACTGAAGTCTGGGAGACGCCTTGTGTAAAGTTAATCAAATGCCTAAATTGGTGTGGTGGAAGACTAATTGAGTAGGGGATTTTGTTAACAGCTCACTCTATCTTAAAGTAACCTTAATCCAAACCCTATGCAAAAAAAGATTATAGGAATTGTTTATATCGTTGGTTTTATTTATAGAATTGTATCAGATATCAGTATTGACAAACACAATACATCCATGTTTACAGGGATTGTGTGTATCAAAAAAAGGCTTTGAAGCCCAACATGTTTGTTCTGTGTTTCTTTAATATTAATAATGGCATTCTGAGGTTTTGGAATTGCTCATGTGAAATAGTTTACTACTTTCTTGATGTGAATGTCAACAGTAATTGCAGCATTAATTTCAGGTTGATGTGAATATTGAGATTTGCACTGTTTATGTAGAAGTAGTATATTTAAAGATCAGTATATGTGCTAATAACAACCAATTTTAAGTGGCCGATGTTAAAATATTGAAAAATAATTGTCAATGTAATATATTCAGGTTTGCTTTCTGAATGCTCTCTTTGGAAGTAATCTCAATAGTGAACATGGCTCATTTGTAAAAGAATACTTTCCCTCTCCCCAATAAACGTGCTGTAAATACAACAAACAATCCACCATTAATACTTGATATGCAGACAGTACAAGGAAATTGGGAGGCTGGAGAACAGGTTGCTTGTAAAATTTGCACTTTGAGGAGTTCTTGGAACTTGTTGTCTTCAAGGTGAAGACAACAAAAAACAGGTTTTGGTTTGATTTCATTTAAGTGTGAGAAACTTCTGGATACCAGGTGGATTTTGAATATTGTAACCCAGCTGACATAACTTCGTAAAGTTATGAACACAGTACAGTTGTTTCCCTGTTGGGAAACTTAAACTGTTTTTTGACAAAGGAATGAAACAAGAAAAGAGAATGCTGGCACTAGATAGTAAATGCTAGAGATAATGGCTGTATTGTCAGAGGGTTTTTTTGCACAGATTTTGAGAGACTGTTCTGAGACTAAAATTATTGGAATGCATCACTTGTATCAAAGACAGCTTTTATAGATGAACATTTCTATGTCCTCTTTGTACTCTAACAGTAGTTATTATATAAAGAATTAGATCCATGGTAATTCTTTATCGCAAGGATAAGTACATTTAGGTATCACCTTGCATTTGCTTTGAAGCAGTTACCTGGGATAGCTGAAATATTTATTGCCTTTGACTTTCTGCTGCCTCCAGGTAACGGAGCTCTTGAGGAGGTGTTTTTGACACTAAGCTGTCTGAATTTTTAGATTAGCATCTTTACATAAACAACTGCAGATCGCCATTTACATTGGTAAAACGTTGCAAACTGGACAGCTCAAGAGCAGGTTCCCTTCTTGCTCAGATATCCCTGCAGGAGACATTAATCTTGGGAGAACGATGTTGTCTCAGCTTAATCTGTTGCCCAGCCTAGGTCATACAATGACCCTGGGCCAAATTTTTCATACTCGTACCACTATCTCAAATCTGAAGTATACAAGCCAATTGTCATTAGTACTAGAAATACTTTATATTGCCTTGGTAAAGAGGCATTAGACTGTAAATTGTTTATACTCAGATTAAGTTTCCTTCACAGTGCTGCTACGCATCAAGCAATTTTAATGTCTAGTAATGACATCTCTCTGCTGTCAGAAGTGTAATGCAGTCAGCCACACTGTGGACAGATTTGTTTGAAGAAAAAAATTTTCTTATCAGTAAAGATTTAAATGACTTGTGTGTCATTAATCTAATCTTTATATTCTGTAAAGCTATTTTTTGTAATACTTTTAAAAACACAAATATTAGCAATTAAGAGGTAATTCTCCTAAAGGATTTAGAGGAGTACAAAGGAAGTAACATTACTTACTGTTCCTCTGACTTAGTGAAATTTCTAATACTTTTATATAAGGAAAAGCAGCTGAAATATTCATTGTTTCTTATAGAAGGGCCAGTTCATTTCCCATATGTATTGCTTACTGCTATGGAAAAAAACTTCATTGAAATGCTTTATTAGACAGTTTTTGAGGGGTAACGTAAAAACACAGTATTGCATCAGAGTGGATTGAGGCTTCAATTGGCATTGCTGATGTGTGTATTTTCTCAGCCCTTTTCCATGGCTACTTTTGTGGACAAGATAGCGCTACCTGCACGAACATGTTTCCTAGTGCTCATCCAGGAACAGAATAATTTTTGGCAGAAAATATACATGGAATGATGATTTATGTTTATTGGTTGTGATGAAATGTTGCACAAGTGTCTTACATTTTTAATATGTGCATGTATTATGTGCATGTATGTAGATACATGCTGTATTGCATGTCTGTGCCTCAATTTAAATTAATATGCCTTGTTTAAGAGAACCTGTACTTAAAAATGAGTTCTCAACTCAGACTCAGAGGATCAGACAAGGGACTACCATGGAAGAGGAAGAAGGTTATGGGAATTCAGAGATGAGAGGCTTCTAGGAAGATGTTTCTGGGGGTAAATTCCTCCCCTCACTGTCCCCATTTGTGTGTGATATTCACTGTCACTGAATTACAAACTTTCTTGCCAGTTACCCAACATAAACGCATTTCCTAACTCTGCAGGTCTGTGAGAGTATGTGTGTGTGTCTACGCACATATGTGTATCTTTTTATGACATTTTGATCTTCAGTTGGAGTTTTTTGTTATTTCTCAAGTATTGTTCTAGGTGTTTTTAACCAGGTTGATAGTCTTCGTTCTTTTCCCCCATATCTGACAGTCTTTCTCAGCACCGATTTTTGCATTGTGAAACATGACATTGCCTTCCTTCAGTTGGGATAATTGACTGAACCTTCTGGATTGTGAGAACATGAAATAACGTGGCTGTTTATGCTGTAAAGAGATAAAAGTGCTTTGATCTTTGTCTACCTGTGAGAAACGCTTCTCAGTTTGCTCCTTTAACCGACAAGGCACTGGATTCTATAAAAAAAAAAGAAATGCAGAGCTCTTGGCTAGTTCTTGCATTCCATCCCGCATCTTTAAATCCCACTTGTTCAATAGATTCTGGATGTTCAGAACACCTATGTAGAAAAGAAAACTGAGGATGATACCTGTAGTCTGCACTGTTAAATAAAGTGATGCTTTCAATTACATAGACCAGCTGGAGCAGTCTTGTTTGTTGGGCCTGGAAGCAGCAAGAGCGGAGAAATGTAAGATACCTGCAATAATGTAAATTTGAAGAAAACCTATGTATTTTGACAGCATTCATGTTCTGTGTGATGGAAAGGGAGTCTGCAACTGCCTGGAACTCAATGGTAAGTGTCGAAATAGATGAGCTGGTATGGGCTGGTCTGACAGCTTTACTGTCACCCATAGGGCCATTCTGATCCTCTCTTCTGTCCACATGCCCTACTCTTTTCTTAGTTCTGGTGCTTGTATCGCCTCTCAGCCAGCAGAGACAAGGGGAAATAAAAGTGTCCTATTAACTTAGTTAAGGCACTGGATTAATTGATTTCATAGTTAATCCAAAGTAAAAGTAGTAAAGAAACAGTACAAAACCTAATATGCTGTCATGCTATGATTTTTGAAAACTCATAATTTAGTCAGAGGGAGAAACGAATCCATACTATTCACACATAAAGTCACTTTTAAAAATTGGCAACCAATCTGGTTGTATTCACAGATTCATGCAGAAGTCTGCTAACTTCCTTTGAAATGCCAATGATAAAGCAGAGAAAAACAGAACTAATTGCTCGGGAACTGCTCAGAAACCTATCACAGATAAACTGCATACTGATTGCAAACTTGCCGCTTTTTTCTTCTTTGTCAGCAAATCAACCTTCAGATTGTGAAATTGGCATCTCATTTGTGTTCATCTGATTTTCCTTGGGGAGTGGGAACTATGTAATTGTCTTAGTATGATTGTGACCAAAGGTTTATTTTCAGAAGTAAGAGAAAATTGAAGGTTTTAGGCTAAGGCCTTGTAAATAACCAAAAGAAGTCTGCTGGGAAAGTTAATCACTATCTTTAGCTAGTTTAGTTCAAAATATTTGCTGATATAACTATGTCTACCCAAGTACATTTTACATCAGTTATGGGTGTGATTTTGTGTGATGCATTCAACGACGCTAAAAAAGTTTTCAGGTGTTAGCTAGTCTTTAGAATTACAGCAAA